ATACAAGTTCCAGGCATTGTGCAAACAGGCAATGTTTTGAGAACCCTAATATTGGTGTAATCTCTGCGCAGTCTCAACCACAAATGCAAAAACTTTGTGGTGGGTGAACGGTCATAGCTTCACTTAAGGAAAATATTATGGAAGTAATTTTCAAACTGTAGTACATTTATTTATATTTATTAATATCATGGGTTCATGTTGTGTTTGTTTGTTTGTTGTTAATTAATACCTTTATTTTGAACTAACACTTCAATATCCACCACAAAATTAAAGAGATGAGTGTGCTAATGGTGTTGGTCTGACCCCAAATAATCAGATAATGGGGTGTTCACAAGCTACAGTGAGATAGTCTCCTGCAAATTATGTGTGTAAATAGTAGTGCTTAAATCTTTGGGTGTATTTTTATACGGCAACATATTTTGTCACACCATAGCGATGCAAAGTACTCTAGCCTGTGGAATAACTTTAAAACATAATCTTTATACAGTAATTCGAAAGAAAAGCTGTGAAAAGCAGTGTTTATAATAAATAGACAAAAGTTTGCAAATTATGGTTTTATTACTATTACTATTCAGAAGTCACTGTTTCACATTTTGTATGTTGGTTTTAGGTAAAAAAAAAAAAAATTTCTTTGATAGCTGTCAACATTCAGTCTTTATAGGAATAAATGACCATTACGATTTTAAGCGATAGTCTTTCTGAGAAAGTTAGACTAAATTGATACTGTGTTTAGTGCAACTTACCCTCTTTGTGGAATCACACAAACTATTAACATGCTGTTAATAAGTAAGTATTGTTTACTTAAGTTACTTACCAATTACTTATAAGTATTAATTACGAAAAGTAAGCGCATGCTGCTTCACAATTAAACTATTGCTTTGAGAGATGCCTATTCATTAAAGCGTGAGGCTGTTAAACAAAGTTCAGTAAAATCGGCAGATAACATTGCACAAAGTAAATTCTAGTGATCAACATGCTAAAAAGTAAATACAACATGAGCCATACAGAAAAGCCACTTGTGATCAGTTTTGTATGTTTGTAATTGACATTTTATATACTTAGTCGATTACGCAGTTAACATCAGGCTTCTTTTGTTTTTGAACAGTTGGGAAAAACTATAATCTCCGAGCGTGGTCAATCTTATAGGAATTATGAAAACATGAACAGATATTTCTACATGAGATATTTCTTTTAGAACATCTTTCAGCTATGTCTACGAAACATCGACATGCAAGATGAGTATTGCCGTATTCTGTTACCCATGAACAGAGCCGGACAGTAACGGAGTACATTTACTTGAGTACAGTACTTAAGTACAAATTTTGAGGGATCTGTAATTTACTCGAGTATCATTCTTGGGGAGTACTCATGGGTAGATTTGAGAGGGAAAAAATTGTACTTTGTATTGTTTTTTTTTAATGTTAAATAAAGCAACAATTTACTTTCTCTAAGGTATTGACATTAACATTTTATAACTCAATGTAGGGGTTTCTGTCCATAAATGTTAGTACTGTGGCAGTAGTAATGCAATATGTAGTACTTTTAAAAACAAGTACTTCAGTACTTTTACTCAAGTAGACATCTGACTGTAGTACTTTTACTTGAACTTGAGTAAATTTAGCAAGGGTTATTGTGCTTTTACTCAAGTAATAAAGCTGTGTACTATGTCCGCCTCTGCCTATGAAACTATTATACTTTCAAACTCGTCTAGCTATTGCCCATTTTACAGCACAGTCTTAGATACACAGTTATTTGCATATGTGGTTGAACAACAGTTAAGCTAATGAATTACCGTTGATAAGCGATATTTTTATGCGAAAGGTGGGATGTGTACACGATAACTTGACACAAGAGTTCATTTTTAACAACGCTATTATAACACTGATCGTATTTTGGATGTTCTTTTCTTTACACTTCCAGTTAGTGAATTCTAGGTCTTCTCTTTGTTCATATACGACAGTATTCACATGAAATGGCATGATTTAGCCTAATAAATGACGGTCTAAACCGCATTATATTATTACCATCCTAGTTTTTAAAATAGCGCTTAAATGTATTTTTATATTTTAAACCCTTTATGCGAATATAGAATACCGCACAAAGAATCTCTGAAATATTTTTTTTTGTGTAAAACATCTATGTAGATCTATCAATGTTTGTAAAAATACAGCAAAACAAAGAATAAAGACATCTTTCTACCAGTGACACTCAAAATCTGGGGATACAACAAAATAAAGTATCTCGAGCCTGCACTGATTCGCCAGCAAAATATGTAGCATGGTTTGAAGAAACACTTTAATCAGCCGGTGCTTGTTAACTAGTTATTAAACAACCCTCAATTCGGTAGTGATGTACGCCATAATGAGATAACGTTTCAATTTCAACTCAATACATTTGAATGCTCTAAAGGTCTATAACTGAACTTTAACATCTTAATATTTGATAAAAGTTAACTTAAAGCCTGCGCAAAATAAAAAACATCCTAGCTACTTTCTAATATATCTTTTTTTTTACTTCCTATAAAATAAGTTGTGTAATACTGTTTTTATGAGCTTGGACATTACCACAAAATACATTTTTGTCTTTTTTTTATTTCAACATAGTGAAGTAAAGCAATAGTAAGAAAATGTAAAACAACAATGACATTTACAGGTGATCGAGCCAGAATAAAAAGTCACGGCACGCAATCATGTTTTTATCTAAGGCATAGGTGACCAGAGATTCAACAATTTCATTAACATCTGTTTTTGCATTGTTGTTTTACATTTTCTTACTATTGCTTTACTTCACTATGTTGAAATAAAAAAAAGACAAAAATGTATTTTGTGGTAATGTCCAAGCTCATAAAAACAGTATTACACAACTTATTTTATAGGAAGTAAAAAAAAAAGATATATTAGAAAGTAGCTAGGATGTTTTTTATTTTGCGCAGGCTTTAAGTTAACTTTTATCAAATATTAAGACGTTAAAGTTCAGTTATAGACCTTTAGAGCATTCAAATGTATTGAGTTGAAATTGAAACGTTATCTCAATATGGCGTACACACTGTAAAAAATATCTACTTGGTTCTACTTAAAATCATAAGTTAAGCAGCTGCCTCAAAATTTCAAGTAAAAACAAAATGGATTAATAAATTGTTTTAACTCATTATTTTGATTCTTGTTAAGCTGTGAATTGCCTTCTGCGAGTCAACATGACTTAACATTTATTGTTATTTCAACTTTGCTATGCAAGTTCAAAATAAAGTGAACTCATTAATGAGCATTCTGTTCACTTATCCCCATTAGTGGGTTGAACTTAGTAATTTCAATTAAGTAATTTATTTGAATTAGGGTATCAAGTTAAGATAATCTAAAAGAAGCCTTGTTTTAACTTAACAATTAATATAAAACACACAAATTTGAGTACAAAACATTTTTTTTATTAAAACCAATGTTAAGCCAATAAAAGCTATACAAACACTTCATCTCAAACATTTTCAATATGCAATCAACAACTTTTTAGGTACCAAATTTCAGTTGGGTGTGGGTAACATGAGGCTAAGATAAATAGAAGATCATCTTCTACAAGTGCGAGCACAAACCTCTGCTTGTCATATCCCCATTAGGTCACCCAAAGATGTACTAAACACTATTTATAGTCACCCAATAGAAAATACATTACTTTGAAAGCATTAGCTTTTTTTCCTTACACAACACGAAAATACTGAACAGGTTTTGAATGTTAACATTTAAAGGGATACTCCACTTTTTTTGAAATAGGCTCATTTTACAACTCCCCAGAGTTAAACAGTTGAGTTTCACCGTTTTCAAATCCATTCAGATGATTTTCTGATATTTAGAAGAATATCAGTAACCAGACAGTTTCTGGTCTCATTGACTTCCATAGTAGGAAAAAAATATACTATGAAAGTCAATTAGACCAGAAACTGTCTGGTTACTGATATTCTTCTAAAAATCAGAAAATTGGCTGAATGGATTCAAAAACGGTAAAACTCAACTGTTTAACTCTGGGGGAGTTGTAAAATGAGCCTATTTCCAAAAAAAGTGGAGTATCCATTTAAATAAACCTTTTTTCTAGTTCACTTTTAAAAAAAAAAAAACTTTTGCTGATAATTTACTCACCCCCATGTCATCTAAGATGTCTATGTCTTCATTTATTTTCGGCTAAAGAAAGAAAGACAAGGACACCTTGGATGACATGGGGTTGAGTAAATTATCACCAAAAGTTTTTTTTTTTTAAGTGAACCAATCCTTTAACAATCTCACAGATCCAGCTGAATTATACCAAAAGCGGTCCTGAACCCCAAACACAAACAAACTAAAACTTCAGACTGCCAACTTCAGCTGGTTGTTTTCAAATATTTGAATCCTGAATACAGTATACTTAGTATATTATTTGAACAATATTCAGCATTAAATGTATTCAGTCCAACAAAAGCAAATGGATCAAGTCCAAAAACAACAACAAAAAAAAACAGGGCTCCTCTCCTGTTTGCTTGCTTTTGCCTTCAACTTTGGCTTGCATTTCAACAGAAACAAATGGAAAAAGAAGAAAAAAAGAAAAGAATTCCAAACCATTCTCAGGTGTAGCATTGTTTACAACTTATACCTCAGGAGCTTGTTTCGAATGCCGTGGACTCTGGCAGAAGCTTGATCTGGTTTGATCTTCATCACTACCCTCTGAAGGAATTCAAAAGAATACTTCATGGCTTGTGGATACTCAAGGTTCACACAGTAGATAATCCCCAAAAGCATGGCAAAGCTCGATGGCACATCCTTGAAGTTGTGAAGCACAACAGTCTCCTCAACCACAACAGCCACATTGAAGATCTCATGTGGAAAGGCATCCTGGTTGTCACCTTCGTAGCCTATCAACAGGCCAAGTTGCATCCCCTCCATGGCTTCAGCAAGAGTCTCACCATGGGCCTTGAAAAGCAGAAAAAAAAATACTGTGAATGTTTGGGTCAAGATGTACATGCTCTGCAAAGCTACTCAAGTCTCAGTGATCATAAACCTTGTTTTCAGGCAAATAAAATAGTCTTCTTGGGCTTTCAGTTGTGAGTGTGCATGTTTATAGGTGCAATGTTGGAAGGTTACTGCCATGGGTGAAAACTTCAGTGTCCTCTCAGATCTGGGGAAGTGTATGTTGCATTTGGTCCTCTGCCCATCACTATTCTACCCCTCCTTTCTCCCTGCATCATCACTATTTTGCTGTCACAGGACTTTACCAACACCTATGAGTGCATCTAATCCAATCTCTGTGTTAAAGGGTGTGTGTGTGTGTAAGTTTATATGTAGGTGGGTGGGTTCGTATATGGGCTGTTATGGATGACAGAAAAATGTCTTACATCACACATCCTGATGATGTCTGATGGCTCTTCTCTTAGGTAGTGTGGCAGACCCAGCAGAGCAGCAGTCCTTCTCCTTTCGTTTGTGTCCTACAATAAAAAACACTAAGCAGTGAGATTTTATTGCAAACATTTGGTGCCCAATTTTACAATTCTCAGCTGGTCTACTCACGTCTTTCTTCAGACAGTCCAAAATGGCTTTCAGTGCAGGCTTCTTTGCCGACTTTGTCGCAGCTTCGTACACTTCCAGCAGTCTTGGTGCCAGGTCATCAAGTCCGTCGAGAAACGATTCGAGAAGGTCTGTGCTTACGACTCTTTTGAACTCTGCCCGAACCTGAGGAGACAAAAAAAGTTAAGAAATTACAGGGAAAAAAATTCAAAGTCAAAATTTAGTAAGCTAAGGTTGTCTTGTTGTCAAAGACTGTCATCCACTCAGTAATACTAAACACAATCCTCTCACTTATCTGTATGTTCATTCATGCCACCTTTCGGACAAAAAAAAAAAAAAGCTGAAATTGCCCTTTTACTTCCTGGAGAGAAGCTCATACATTGATATCCAGTCATTGGATTAAGTGATTAATCTTAGGCTGAGTGTTTTCTATTGTTATACCTGTCTCTCACAGAACATGGCCGGCCATCTAGCCATGACATCCCCAATGAGAGGTTGATCCCCTACGATCTCCTTTCTGCGCTTGGAGAACGTGTCAGACATCAGGTTATCTATCTGCTGGTGATCTAGGTCTTTTTTCAGCACTTCCACCTGCAGATTACACAAGCAGAAAGGACACATACTAAGACAAAATATTAGGCTTCACAGAAACAAAAGCAAAGTGTAGGTAGTTAGTATTATATAGGCAGGTATGTATGCAGTAATAAACAGGTATGATGTGCGTGTATGATGTACCTCCATCATCCTCCGCTTTTCTTCCATGTCTTCATCACTCAGTCCTTCAGGGGATCTGGACAGTAGTGGACCTCGCCCTTCTTTGACTTCTTCATCCGTGGTCCCTTGGCTTCTTCTCCTTTTCTTTTGTTGACCCTCACCTCCGGGCATCCAGCTGCACTTAACTTTTGTCTATAGTTTCCGAGCTTAAACTTCAGGCTGTGGAACCAGCCGTACCAACCTTTTCCAGACCCTGGCTCTTTTAGACTGGGATGCTTCTCCACAAGCGCTTTGGCAACATTTTCATAGTGTTGCCTCTCAGGATAAGGACTAATCTTTGACATGCTGTCTGCAAGTGTGTCCAGGATATCAGTTTTCATACCTTTAGGAATCATCAGCACAGATCCATCTTTTGCATATCTTCCATTTGCTTCTTGCAGTGTGAGTTCAACATCATGCGAGAACTCTGGAATTGGGAAGGGCTCAGGCCAGAGCTGAGAGTCAGATTCCCACTACTGAGAGATGGAAGGCTGGCTGTATCCAATGTGGAATCCGAGCAAGCTGCATCAGTTGTGATTCATAAAATTCAATTCATAAAACACCTGAAACACACAAAACAGAAGAAAAGTTTTAGCTGCTAAGTGATGTGAATTGCAAAAATGAACAATAGCACATTTCTAGTCAAGTCTAACAAATTGGATGTATGAATTGTTGCATTGCTCTTTACCACTAGCTAGCACAAACAATGTTCTGTAATAAGAAACAATAATGAGCTTGCAGCAAACGAGCGGCTGCTAATAATCTAAAATTATTTTGCAGCACTGGCCATGAACATACACAACCATTCAAAGGTTTGGGGTCAGTAAATTTTTTTAGGTTTTTAAAAGAATTATCTTCTGCTCAGCAAAGGCTGCATTTATTTGATTAAAAATACAAACAAAACGTCTCGGTTACGTATGTAACCCTCGTTCCCTGAGTAGGGAACGGAGACGTTACGTCAGAAGTGACGGAGATTGGGGGTTTCGCATAGAAAGCCAATCCTCTTCGAGTATTAAAACACGAGCCAATGGCATGCAATGCCTTGGGGCTGCGGAAATTTGCATAGCGTACTCCGCCCTACTCCGTGAGTATAAAAGGAGGAAGTGAACGCAACCGCAGTATGTCTTCGCTGAGGAGCCAAGACTGAACTCGGCCTCTACCCAGCGATACAGCAGAAGTGGCAGGGAGACGTAACGTCTCCGTTCCCTACTCAGGGAACGAGGGTTACATACGTAACCGAGACGTTCCCTATCGTAGTCACTTCGAGTTACGTCAGAAGTGACGGAGATTGGGGGTCTGTGCCATCACGCCATCTTCAAGCTGTCTTCCAGTGCCCTGCGAAAGACTGAACCCCCGAGCCTTACCTCTTTTTTTTTTTTTTTTTTTTTTTTTGGGGATCCGACTTTGACACAGGATTACCAAGGTACACTGGGAAACATATCCCGAAGGGGACATGCTACCAGCTGCCTACCGAAGGGAGGACTTAAGAATACACATATGGCCACATAGGAACGCATATGGAACACTGGAGTACCAACCGCAGGTGGCTACTGATTTAAACTCCAGGGGTGGCAGATGGCTTGCCAAGGGAAGACACATGCTCAGAGAGGCTTACAGTGGATAATACACATGAGACGGTTACCATGGGGAACCGTGCGCATGGAGGCACCTAGCTAGCATCCAGAGCAACGCAGTGGTGCCCGCATCGTCGGTGCTGGAGGACTCAAGACTTCAATGGAAGAACTGAGGAAATATCGCACTTATCCAGTCCGGGGAGTGGAGTGGCGAGCAAGCGAAGACACCTGAGCGGATCCAGAACTGGCCGAAACGAGTACGTGAGAGGATACCGGCTCAATTCGCAGATTATAGAATCTGGCGAAGGTGTTGGGTGTCGCCCAGCCTGCAGCTCTGCAGATGTCTGTTAGCGAGGCGCCGTGCGCTAAAGCCCAAGAGGAGGCTACACTCCGAGTGGAATGGGCCGTCACACCAAGGGGGCACGGAAGGCCTTGCTGCTGGTAAGACAAAGCAATGGCATCCACTATCCAGTGGGACAGCCGTTGCTTTGAGAGAGCCCTTCCCTTCTGGCTCCCCCCATGACAGACAAAGAGCTGGTCTGAGGTCCTGAAACACTGCGTTCTGTCGACATAGGTGCGGAGAGCACGTACCGGACAGAGCAGTGCCAAGGCTGGGTCTGCCTCCTCCAGGGGCAGCGCTTGCAGGTTCACCACCAGGTCCCGGAGGGGAGTGGTAGGAACCTTGGGCATATATCCAGGCCGGGGTCTCAGGAATACGTGAGAGTAAGCCGGCCCGAACTCCAGGCACACTTCGTCAACAGAGAGTGCGTGCAGGTCCCTTACTCTCCTGATGGATACCAATGCAATCAGGAGTGCTGTCACATAGGACAGGGCAAAAACTCTACCGACTGCAAAGGCTCCAGGGGAGGCCTCTGCAGAGCACCCAGGTCTACTGAGAGGTCCCCAGAGGGCAGGAGGGGAGGGAGGCGGATTTAGCCCCCTCACTCCCCTCAGGAACCTGATGACCAGGTCATGCTTCCCATAGACTTACCTTTCACTGCATCATGAGACGCGGCAATGGCCGCGACATAATCCAAAGGGTGGAGGGCGACAGCCTGCGCTCCAACCCCTCTTGCAGGAAGGAAGCATGACTCCGATCGAACATCTCCGGGGGTCTTCTCAGCGAGAAGAACACCAATTGACGAAGAGGTTTCACTTCAACGCATAAAGGTGTCACGTGGACGACGCTCTTGCGGAAGTGATGGTTGCCGCCACCGCAGGTGGCAGCGAACTCAAACCTGCCTCGTCCCGTCCTGGAGCCACACGTGCAGCCTCCAAGATCGGGACGAGGGTGCCACAGAGTGCCCCGTCTCTGAGAGAGTAGGTCCGGTCTCAGAGGAATAGGCCAAGGAGGTGCTGTCGCGAGGAGCAAGAGTTCGGAGAACCACGTCTTGGTGGGCCAGTAGGGGGCTACCAGCAAGACCTGCTCCTCGTCCTCCTTGATCTTGCACAACACCCGTGCAAGGAGGCTCACTGGGGGAACGCACACTTGCGTGGGCCCCGTGGCCAGCTGTGCGCCAGCGCATCCGAGCCGAGAGAGCCGCGGGTCAGAGAATAACTGGGCGCAGTGGGACGAGTCCCGAGAGGCGAACAGGTCTAACTGTGCCTCCCCGAACTGGTCCCAAATCAGCTGGACCGACTGGGGATGGAGTCGCCATTCGCCGGAGATGGGACGGGCCCGGGACAGCTCGCGGCTGCCCGATTCCGGTCTCCAGGAATGTAACTGCACGAAGGGACCTCAGGTGCTTCTGACTCCATATCAAGAGGTGGCGGGCGAGCTGCGACAACCGGCGCGAGCGTAGACCCCCCCTGGTGGTTGATGTACGCTACTGCCGTAGTGTTGTCTGAGCGGACAAGCACATGCTGGCCCTAGAGCACGCTCGGAAGCGGTGCCGGGCGAGCCGTACTGCCAACAGCTCGAGGCAATTGATGTGCATGAGGCGCTGGGCTCCTGTCCAGGAACCGGCGGCTGCATGCCCATTGCACATGGCACCCCAACCCGTGGTAGACGCATCCGTGGAGACAACGAGATGCCTGGAAACTCGCTGAATAGGGACCCTGTCCGTAAAAAGCTGAGGTTCGACCACGGGAAGAAGGATCGGCGGCACGTCGGAGTCACTGGAACTCGGAGCGAGCCGCGATGCCATGCCCACCTCGGGACTCGATCGCGAAGCCACAGCTGAAGCGGTCTCATATGAAGCAAACCGAGCGGCGTTGCCGCGGCCGCGGATGCCATATGCCCCAGGAGCCTCTGAAAGTTTCAGTGGAACCGCACTCTTGCCCTCGAACTGTCGAAGACAAGCCAGCAGTGAGTGCGCGCGCTCGTTCGTGAGCTGCGCGGACATGGCGACCGAGTCTATCTCCATGCCGAGAAAAGAGATCCTCTGCACGGGGCAAAGTTTGCTCTTTTCCCGGTTGACCCGAAGGCCCAGACGGGCTAGGTGCCGTAGCACCAGGTCTCTGTGTTCGCAAACCTGAGCTCGAGAGTGTGCTAGTAACAGCCAGTCGTCGAGATAGTTCAGGATGCGAACCCCGTGTTCGCGAAGGGGAACAAGGGCTGCCTCGACGATCTTCGTGAAGACGCGAGGGGACAGAGCTAACCCGAATGGGAGAACGGCGTACTGGTATGCCTGGCCCTCGAAGGCAAACCGAAGAAACGGTCTGTGTCGAGGGAGAATGGAGACATGGAAGTACGCGTCCTTCAGGTCGATCGCTGCAAACCAATCCTGATACCGAACACATTCGAAAATGCGTTTGGCCGTGAGCATTTTGAACGGTAGTCGATGGAGAGAACGGTTCAAAATGCGCAGGTCCAGGATCGGTCGTAACCCACCGGTCTTTCTTGGGGACAATGAAGTAGGGGCTGTAAAGCCCGGACCTCACCTCGGCTGGAGGGACCGTCTCGATTGCACCCTTCGCCAGCAGGGTCGCAATCTCCGCTCTCAAGACTGGGGCATTGCCACCAACCATCGTGGAGCGAACTCCCCTGAAGCGGGGAAGAGACCGTGCGAACTGAATCGCGTAGCCGAATCCGATCGTTCTGATGACCCAGCGGGAACCCCGGGAAGCGCTAGCCAGGCTTCCAGGAAGTGAGCCAACGGGGTCATGCGAACCACAGACGTCCCCCGGAGGGGCAGCGAGGCGGGTCGACCGGCATGCGTGCAGGAGTTACCCCGTCCGGATGCACCGTCGAAACCCGCTCCCCGACAGAAGAGACCAGGGAAGGCAGAGCGTTCCACGGGGGTCTGTTCTGCCGGGGTCTGGCGACAGAGGGGGAAGGGATTGGCGTAGCCCGGGGACGACACACGCACCCTTCCGCGCCCTCCGAGACAGAGAGGAATGAACGGGGCGACGCACTGGACGTCGTGCGCGCTCATTCCAGTCTGTGTGCTCAATGACAGTGTCAGCTTTTCCTCAACCAGCTCAGGGAGCTAGCTAGAACAAAAGATTCTCCACCGGCCCTCCACCGGGGAAGGAGGGGCCCTGCCACCGCCTCCTGAGAAAAACCATGACACTATCACTGAGCGGCCCGCCTCAGGAACATCGCTTCGCCTGGCATCTAGCGGGGCACGCGGCCTGAGGGGGGGCTCTTTTCTTGGGACGCTTACCTGTGGCCTCCTCCGCGACGCGAACCGGCTGAAGGCTGCTGCTGGGGCCGCGTGGGAGGGAAGGGAGCCGCAGGGGGGCGTCCTCGGCGGCGAGCTGGCGGAGGCGTCCGAGCCGACGGCTGGTTGGAGGCAGCAGCTGGCCGTCGGGGCAGAGAAACCGCCTTCGTCTGCTCCTAGGCGGTCGAGAAGTGCTGGGCAAAGTCCTGGACCGCACCGCCGAACATTATGATGCTCCTGGACCACAGCGGTGGGCATCACCTGACCAAGGGAGCGAGCGACCGCCTCCGTGACCCGTTTAAGGACAAGGTAGGCGACAGGCTCGCAGCTCGCTTGGTCCGTCACCTCCTCGTGCACATTCCTGAGCAGCTAGCTTTGTAGGTGCTCATCATATGCAGGGCGGAGGCTGCCTGTCCCGCCGCTCTACAGAATCGCGCCGCCATAGACGACGAGAACCCATAGGCTTTGGAGGGGCATCTGAGAGCAACCGCCGGTTGACCGGGGGAGCCCCAGCGTACCCACAGACAGCCGCATCGCCGAGGGGAGGAAGGGCGGGGAACTAAGCACGCTTTTTTTTTTTTTTTTTTTTTATTTATTTATTTTTTAGTGCGTGTCAGTTCCGCATGCAACTCGGGGAAAAAAGGAAATTGGGGTTGGCCGTGGCCGTAAGGCGGCAGCGTTACCCAAAAACCAATTATTCAGCCGCGAGAGATCGGGGAGGGGCGGAGTTCCACCCCCACCCGATGCTCACGGACGCCCGAGATAGCACGGCCATCATCGCGGGATCAGACACGGCGGCGCTGACGCTCCCGAGGGAGGCAACGCGGCCGCATCCTCACTTCCCGAGGAGTCAAGCCCGCCTAGTGATGCTGTGATCGACATCGCATCATCATCTGGAGCGCTGCCCGAAGCAGCCGGTGCCACCGAAGAAGCAACCGACTGAATCGAACTAACGCTCGCTGGCTCTCGCACTGAGGCGGGAGGTGTGGCCCGAGGAATCGTCGGGGCTTATCCCACACCATCACCGTAAATCACCAGGTCCCCGGGTCGACGGGCCCCCTATGGAGGAAACCGATCGAGCGGGGGGGACCGGGACTCTCACTCAAGTGAGATCATTGAGTCTCGACCTCAGTGTAGAGATGGTCATGTTCCCACAGAAGGAAAATGAGTCATCCACGAACGCTGCTGCTGCATGCTGAAATGCCCAGGCATACAAAGCAGCGATCGTGACCATCAGATGACGACAGAAATCAATCACACCCAGAAGAGCACGGGCGAACCGTCTTTAAAAAGACGTGCGCGTGCAGCTCTTTCAATGAGAGGAGGAAATTCACTCTTTCAGCGCTGAAGCGACCAGGGAGAAGCGCAAAGTCTGGCAGACCACTGCTCAGATCGCAGGCGATGCAGAATCTCGCTGGGTACCGCCGTCACACCAACACTGAAGAGGACGCTCGTCTCGAAGAGTCTTGAACAGTGCTTTCAGGAGTGAAGAGGTTCTCTTGGCTCCGAAGCGAAAACATACTGCGGTTGCGTTCACTTCCTCCTTTTATACTCACGGAGTAGGGCGGAGTACGCTATGCAAATTTCCGCAGCCCCAAGGCATTGCATGCCATTGGCTCGTGTTTTAATACTCGAAGAGGATTGGCTTTCTATGCGAAACCCCCAATCTCCGTCACTTCTGACGTAACTCGAAGTGACTACGATAGGGAACAGTAATACTGTGAAATATTATTCCAATTTAAAACAGCTGTTTTCTATTTCAATATATTTTAAACAGTAATTTATTCCTGTGATCAGAGCTGAATTTTGTGCATCATTAGTCTTCAGTGTCACATGGCGGTTTGACAAAATTAAGATCACGTTTTTTGTTGTTTTTTTCTCTCAAAATGAAGCCAGTTTTCCAGTTTATGACTTTTTTCCATGCATAATCTGGTTTTCAAAGGATTTTCAAGGGAATTACTGCAATAAATTGTCTTATTTTACATTCATTATTTAATATTGTAGAATAGAATAGCACCCAGTACAACCTAATCGTATAACCAAGCAAGAACGTTAATACTAAACGTTTATATTGAACGTTATAATAACCAAGAAATATAGTTAATACAATGTTTTAAAAAATGGACGTTTTGAATATTCTTAGAACATTCAGAAAAAACGTTTTAATAACTTAATGGGAACGTTACGAACCCTAAAATTGTTATCTGGGGAAGAGGAGAGATTCGCGATTGCACTGAACACGTTTTAAGTGCAGGATTCTTTAAGCGAGCCCAGAGAAAACTGACATTTCTAACCAGAGCAGCGTGTATCTGAGAGCATGGGCGCGATATTCCACGTGCAAGCAGACAGATTCGCGCATTATATTAATTTACTTTCGCGCTAAAATAGTGCTCTCTCGACATTTAACAGGAAATAACGCCATAGTTCTGCAGCATCCCCTTACCTGTAACGTAACACCGTAGACAGTTACCAGAGCACAGATTTTTGATTTACCCCCTCCTCACCGTCGCTGCTCAGAAATGCAACATTGATAAAGGGTCCTTCTGAAATAGTGTCGCGCAGGGCAACGTAGGTTCCGAAAGTTGTGTAAAATAAATACATCGGTATGGCGGTTTATTAAAAAATGAATATCATAAAAAATATACACCGGCTTTCAGTATGAACCGGTATACCACCCAGCACTAACCTCCTTCAGAAATCATTGATGCTCAAGAAATATTCTTTTATTATTATCAAAGTTGTTCTAAAAATCTAAAAGATAGGTTCTGAAATCTAAAGCTTGTTTGACCACAGGAACAAATTTTAAAATGTATTTAAATTGAAAATAGCGGTAAATTGGAATAATATTTCACAATATCACTGTTTGTGTTGGTATTTTTAATCAAATATGCGGCCTTGGTGAGCAGATGCTTCTTTTAAAAACTAACTGACCCCAAACTTTTGAACGGTAGCTAATGTTTGTGTGTTTGGCCTTGACGTACGTTAACTTATATCAGAAATGGCAAATGACATCGCAGTTTTGTACATATTAAAAGGTATCTAATGTTATTGGCTTCATCAACACATATTCTTAATAAATAAAAAACACGAACACTTACCAATAATGCACTTGTTCACTCCAACCGATTCGTCGTCTTGTCTGACAGAAATGAGGAACCTGGTGGTTGTTGAAGTTTGATTGCTCGGCGCGTAAAGTTCGTCTCGTGGCTTCGTCGGTAGTCCCTTCCCCCACCCCCACACATGCGCAAAGACTTGTACCCCACTCAAATTAAAATGATAAGTTCATTCAGGCACCTGGAATTTGTGATTCATTGAAGTAACTTATGAAACTAAATTGGAAGATTGAAAACTCAAACAACTGAGTTGAAATTTCATGACACATTATTTTATGTCTGATTGAATGACATATATAAGTTATCATAACTTTTTCATCAGATCATTTTTTACAGTGCATCACTACCGAATTGAGGGTTGTTTAATAACTAGTTAACAAGCACCGGCTGATTAAAGTGTTTCTTCAAACCATGCTACATATTTTGCTGGCGAATCAGTGCAGGCTCGAGATACTTTATTTTGTTGTATCCCCAGATTTTGAGTGTCACTGGTAGAAAGATGTCTTTATTCTTTGTTTTGCTGTATTTTTACAAACATTGATAGATCTACATAGATGTTTTACACAAAAAAAAATATTTCAGAGATTCTTGTGCGGTATTCTATATTCGCATAAAGGGTTAAAATATAAAATATACATTTAAGCGCTATTTAAAAACTAGGATGGTAATAATATAATGCGGTTTAGACCGTCATTTATTAGGCTAAATCATGCCATTTCATGTGAATACTGTCGTATATGAACAAAGAGAAGACCTAGAATTCACTAACTGGAAGTGTAAAGAAAAGAACATCCAAAATACGATCAGTGTTATAATAGCGTTGTTAAAAATGAACTCTTGTGTCAAAGTTATCGGTGTACACATCCCACCTTTCGCATAAAAATATCGCTTATCAACGGTAATTCATTAGCTTAACTGTTGTTTAACCACATATGCAAAATAACTGTGTATCTAAGACTGTGCTGTAAAATGGGCAATAGCTAGACGAGTTTGAAAGTATAATAGTTTCATAGGCAGAGGCGGACATAGTACACAGCTTTATTACTTGAGTAAAAGCACAAATAACCCTTGCTAAATTTACTCAAGTTCAAGTAAAAGTACTACAGTCAGATGTCTACTTGAGTAAAAGTACTGAAGTACTTGTTTTTAAAAGTACTACATATTGCATTACTACTGCCACAGTACTAACATTTATGGACAGAAACCTCCTACATTGAGTTATAAAAATGTTAATGTCAATACCTTAGAGAAAGTAAATTGTTGCTTTATTTAACATTAAAGAAAAAACAATACAAAGTACAATTTTTCCCTCTCAAATCTACCCATGAGTACTCCCCAAGAATGATACTCGAGTAAATTACAGATCCCTCAAAATTGTACTTAAGTACTGTACTCAAGTAAATGTACTCCGTTACTGTCCGGCTCTGTTCATGGGTAACAGAAATACGGCAATACTCATCTTGCATGTCGATGTTTCGTAGACATAGCTGAAAGATGTTCTAAAAGAAATATCTCATGTAGAAATATCTGTTCATGTTTTCATAAATTCCTATAAGATTGACCACGCTCGGAGATTATAGTTTTTCCCAACTGTTCAAAAACAAAAGAAGCCTGATGTTAACTGCGTAATCGACTAGTATATAAAATGTCAATTACAAACATACAAAACTGATCACAAGTGGCTTTTCTGTATGGCTCATGTTGTATTTACTTTTTAGCATGTTGATCACTAGAATTTACTTTGTGCAATGTTATCTGCCGATTTTACCGAACTTTGTTTAACAGCCTCACGCTTTAATGAATAGGCATCTCTCAAAGCAATAGTTTAATTGTGAAGCAGCATGCGCTTACTTTTCGTAATTAATACTTATAAGTAATTGGTAAGTAACTTAAGTAAACAATACTTACTTATTAACAGCATGTTAATACTTTGTGTGATTCCACAAAGAGGGTAAGTTGCACTAAACACAGTATCAATTTAGTCTAACTTTCTCAGAAAGACTATCGCTTAAAATCGTAATGGTCATTTATTCCTATAAACACTGAATGTTGACAGCTATCAAAGAAATTTTTTTTTTTTACCTAAAACCAACATACAAAATGTGAAACAGTGACTTCTGAATAGTAATAGTAATAAAACCATAATTTGCAAACTTTTGTCTATTTATTATAAACACTGCTTTTCACAGCTTTTCTTTCGAATTACTGTATAAAGATTATGTTTTAAAGTTATTCCACAGGCTAGAGTACTTTGCATCGCTATGGTGTGACAAAATATGTTGCCGTATAAAAATACACCCAAAGATTTAAGCACTACTATTTACACACATAATTTGCAGGAGACTATCTCACTGTAGCTTGTGAACACCCCATTATCTGATTATTTGGGGTCAGACAACACCATTAGCACACTCATCTCTTTAATTTTGTGGTGGATATTGAAGTGTTAGTTCAAAATAAAGGTATTAATTAACAACAAACAAACAAACACAACATGAACCCATGATATTAATAAATATAAATAAATGTACTACAGTTTGAAAATTACTTCCATAATATTTTCCTTAAGTGAAGCTATGACCGTATCACCCACCACAAAGTTTTGCATTTGTGGTTGAGACTGCGCAGAGATTACACCAATATTAGGGTTCTCAAACATTGCCTGTTTGCACAATGCCTGGAACTTGTATCAACATGCATTTCTGTAGGTCTGTCAAAAAATAAATAAATAAATAATTCATGGTTTAGTCAAATCAGATGTATTTGGCGGCATGATTATCTTGTTTTGTTGTGTATTTAAGAGACTAGAACAAAACAGGTATGAGGATATATTTTTGTTCTTTGAAAAAGTGGTAAATCATTTAGAGTATTTGATTTTGGGTGGTACGTCGCAAGCTAGTGTCATTAAACTCCATCTTTGAAGTTTTAAAGAAAATTAAATATTCTCAGGAACCCCTGAAGTTATGACTTCTGAAGATTTCTCATGTGTAGATTCCCTCAGTTGAAAATGCTGTTTTGTAATTTACACATCTGAAACACATCTGAAACTACTGGTACAGTAGTTTTTTAAAAAGTATTTTAATAGCTAAAATCAATGTCTTTATTCAAAAATATGATCTCATTGGTGTAAAATTAGCTCTGCCAATGTTCTGACTTTTCCCTGTAAGCGAAAAAAAATTCTCTCCTTTATTTACATGGTACGGGTAAGTCCATGGATGCCTTCATGTCGTTCCGCCATCTTGAAAAACTATAATAGCAGAGAGGGACAAAACGCACTAGCCTGCCTTTTCGTTCAGAGCTGACTGACTGAAACCAGCTGAAGCGGCCAGGGAGGTCAGCGAGAGGCGCTTGTCACTGCCCCGGCATATTTGAAAGGCTGCACTGCCCGGTATACTTCATAATGCAATCCTCCTCATAGCCAAAAAAAAAGCATAAATGTTTTATTTAAAGGGAAATGTGGCCGACAAATTCAAAATGAGGGTAAATATCGGGATTGCTTTTCCCAGGTGGATAGTGCTAATGAATGACGAAGACTTTGGTGGGACGCCGAAGTTGCCCGCTTTCTTCTTGACCTATAACGTCAATGTTATGGCCTAAATTACAAGCTTTTTCTTTCCGTGGTTGTGTAATTCATTATATAGACAGTATAACTGTAAAACATGTATATCGTTAAACTCGATGAAGTAAAATGAAAAAGTGAGGCGCTAGAGAGTACTGTTCGTTTGAAAATACAATTAGATGGGAGAAATTCCTAGCCAGTGTACCTTTAAGGACTAACTTGTATGGTCTTTAACAAATAGCCTCCAAAATGGAGGAGGTCAAAAGGCAGGTTTCCTGCAATATAGTATTATCAGCTCTCCCGCCAAAGTCAGTTCATGTTACAGACAGAGCATCAACAAATGAAAACATTTTCAAATTCTACATATATTCTGAGTAGATAACCGATCTAGTATATTCTCTGTGAAGAGTTTCACCCTGTGTTCCCACAATTAAAGAGGATAGTTTGGGGAATACAAGAAATCTTTTTTTACCAATTCAAGTGAATACAATATATGTATACATAAAATAGATCATAGCTACCGTAGAAAAAGTAAGATCATGCTTTGAATGAAGATGAGTAAAATTAAATATTCACTCAGGACAAACTTTACTTATGCTGCGTCATGGGCCACAGAGGTACAATATTAATACAATATTGATACAACTTAAACGTACAGTATGCGATTTTTGGCCACCAGGGTCACTCGTTTAAAATAATAACAAAAGACATACTTTGATGACGTCGGGAAAGAGCGTGGGCTCACGGGAGTTGTTGTCGCTGTCAATGACAACCAGCTCAGCTCATGACATGACATCATCGTTTCACAAAATATACGGATATACGGCATCTCTCTGTAGATTTAGCTTGTCAAGAAGCTTTAAATGCAACCCCAATGTTTACCTGTGTCATGCTTCTCCTGTCCCAAACCCTTCTCGGGTCATATTTTTCAGGTACGTTTGAGCTTTAGCTAATGAGCTGGCTGTAGCAGCAGAACGTGCAGGCAAAGCGTAATCGTGGTCCATAACTATTTAATACAGACGAATATAAATATTAATATTACGCTACTTCAATGAATGACCTATTTGAGAACATGTTTCATATATAGAGCGCACCGGATTATAAAGCACATAAGATACTGCAGTCAAACGTTTGACTGGGTTTGCGTTATTCATCCACTATGTGCTAAAGGCTAAACTAAGAGGTTTTTTTTGCTGTTTAGCTGTTTTGAATGAGACGACACGGTTACTGTGAACGGGGAGCGCTTTATGCGCGAGCAGCACCGGGGACAGTGTGTCTGTTAAGAGTGAGCGCTCGTGAGCGGGCACGTGATTTACACACATAAAAATACGTACTACTTTTTTTTTCTTCGTCATTTTCTTTGCTTTATTGACGGTAGTCCAGTGTTCCCCTTTGTGTTTGGCGGTTTCGCCGGGTTCCGCAAAGGTTATATGACGCCATAGACGGGCGACGAAACGGAAATAAAGAAACGTCCCGTGTCTTCGAATTAAACTATAAATTTCTCCGTATTTGAAATTTGGTGGAAACTGTCGGGATAATGTAAGTACACATCTAACAGAAATATATAACATAGATACAATTATTTGTGCTATTTTTAATGCAGAAAAAAGACATATTGTGGCTTTAATCTAAATAAGAGAAATGTAGAGTCCTGGGATTTCTTTAAAACAACAACAACAAAAACATTGGGTCAAATTCTGACAACATGTTTCATGTCACATGGACAAAAATACTGTTTGAAATAAGATCCAAGACGCAAAAGCACAGTTCTTGATTTATAACATTTTATTTTATTTTGAATAAACGCCGTTTAGTAAAAACAGTACCTTAGGTTAAGTTAATGCATATCATACAGAAGTATTCTAAGAAGGTAAATTTAAGATACGATTTTAATAAAATCTTTAAAAACTTAATGTAAACAGTCTTTTAATTTTAAAATATTCTATTTAAACTTGTATTATTACGCTTTTAATTGAATTTAGTATGAATAAAACTCCAAATAAAATAAAGCAGACTAGCTTTACTGTGACATTATCCCGCAGAGGCTCATCTAGCCTGTATCGCCTCTGTCTCTGTGTGGAGGATGTGAAGCTTCATCTCACACTGTATATTATCCCAACTTAAACTTGGTTTGTGATAATTTTTTTTTTTGATAGTTTATTTATCAATACTAATCAACTATTTCTTCAGCTCTATGTGTTATATATAGCTAAAAACTATGTTTTAGTAACAAGTTATAAACTTTATTTATAATCATTTCATTTAAAAATAGAGACTAGGTTTATGGAACCGACTTAGTGTTAGTTTGTGGATGCAAAACAGCTTAGAAATTATATTAAATTATTTATTTATTTTAATTTTTTTTTATTTTGGGAATATGAATGGCAGTTTTCTGTGACGGTCATGTTTTAGGTGTACAGGATAGAATGCTGTTACAGTACAAAAATCATTATGGCTATGGCTATATTGATAAAAATTATACTTTAGGTCACATTAAAAAAAAATTTGTTTATCTTTATCTATAGTTTATCTTCTGAAAGATAAATAGAAGATACAAATGTGTTAAAACCTTTCATTTTAAAATATCATATTTAAACTTTTATGATTATGCTTTGAAATAAATTTAGTACGAACAAAAAGCTCTGGAAAGGCGTTCGCAGACTAACACTACACGATGCACAGAGGCTCATCTGCTCTGTCACCCTATATCCTGAAGCTATCATAAATGATTGTTAAGTAACTTCTTTCTCACAAGATGCCCTGGCGAACGGAAGGGCCTTATAAGCAGCCTATATCAATGGGGTCGGCCTGAGGCATCACAGACTCTAAATGTCTTCTTTGTCCCCCTCTCTCTGAAGATAGACAGGTCTATATGGTAAATTTCTTACAGATAAAACTTAAGTATATATTGAACATGTATATTCACATGTGTGTGATGACGTATGAGATGACCAAATTTCAAAGTTCTTCAAAGTTCTTTACATGCACCCTGATAAATAAAAGATATACTTTTAGTTCAAGTCAAGTTTTTACACAGACCCCCGAAAACAACCTGCTATTTCACATTGATGTTAGAGGTCTATTGTATATTTTAACAAATTAGATTTTCAGGGTAAATTAACATCATTAACATCGTGCTGCCTATCTCTTGCGATAAAAATACGTTGTATCTGCAGGCGTTGGAAATGTAACAATGACTAATTCACGGATCACAGTCACATGATTTTTTATGCTTTTTACTACGATATGGAATTAACACTATTCGATGGCTTACAATGGATGAGTCTAATCACTGACCGCACACGCCGACACACACGCACACAGACACACACATAAGCATCTTAAACGGGAGTGTGTGTGAGGAACGCTTGAGGAGAACTCTCACGATCTTTTGTATCACATTCACAATATTAAACACAACCCATTCATGAATTGTATTTGGACATCTGTGTGTTAGGAGCTACTTCTTCAAATCTCTAAAACATGTAAGATGAGTTTGTTTATTGCTTAATTAATTGGTTCAGTAAGATATTTATCGTATATCGTTTATTTTATAAGGATTTCAGTTATATACTCTTTCACATTGGGGATATTTTGTATTGCAACTTATTTTGCACACCCATTCATGACGTATGCATGTATTGCATATGAAAATGTAAGATGAGTTTATTTTTGTTTAAAATAATTGGATCTGTAGACGTTTAGAAAGACATTAGATATTTTCAAACCATTTAATTCATATCATAGAATGGTTTTCAACTTCAGTGTGGAATAGTATATTTATACCATTTTAAAGAATGTTTTTCAAATCTAGTTAGTATAAAATATCTGTAACTGACTAAATGTAAAATAATCATTTCATTTATACAATTTTAAAGAATGTTTTTAAACTTTAGTGTAACGCATTTGATATTCTCACTTTCTCCTTCCCCACCAATCCCCCTCTCCTCTGGAATGTGGTGGGACGAGCCCGTTCAAACATAAAACCTTACATCATATCAACGATTCCCTTATAATCACAAGGACAAGAGATCCCCTTCGAACATAAATCTTACATCGTATCAATGATTCCCTTATAATCACGAGGTCTGACGCATGACACACCTATTATTCAATTACACACCAGGTCATACGACACAAGGTCACCACAGGTCAAGGTCACCCAAGGACACAGGGAGGAGGGGCCGGGTCAAACACAGGGCACGGGGAGGGGGCGGGTCAAAGGTTAATGGGTTAATTAAAAACCCATTAATCATTTTGACACATAGTCCATCATATCACTACTGATACAGTTTACAAAGCCATAGTCAGGTGAGGATCAAGGGTTTTAATATATAATTTAATATAATAATAGTGATCAGCTGATTGTCTCACAAACGTAACCAGCAGCACATTTCTCCCCACATAGCAAACCCATAATACAGCGAGGGAGAAGAACCACATGAAACTATGCAGCTATATATGTTTTCTAACAGGGTAGTAAAAGTTTAGCTGGCTAATATGAGCTGTTACTGTGGCTGAACTGGTTAAAGCATAAAGCCTTGTTTACACTCGACGCGTCCGCATGAGCCCAAAGGTGCATGCAGCAAAAATGACATGATTGTAACAGCGTGCGCATTTCCGCATCCCATAGACACCATAAACTACACACAATAGGCTTTTTCTCTGATTTTGAAAACTCTTCGCGATCGACTTAGATCTCTTACAAGATCGACGGGTTAGTGATTCCTGTAACATACTGTTACGATCAATGACATGAGTACTAATCAGCTGTCTTACGAACATAACAGCACATTTATCCCCACATAACAAACCCATAACACAGCGAGGGAGAACTAAGTTACATGAAACAATCACAACTACATATTTTACACTACTCACAAGGGAAAAGTCACTACTCACAGAGTTTATGGCTAGTTTCTAGCTTTCTGCTGCTTCTCTTTCAAGGTAGTGGCGAAACGCGTTCTGTAGCACTGTTTGTTCACGTTCGGCTACGGTAGAAAGATGACGTCACAATATGGCGACCTTCATAGAAGGGGATTCCCGCGGTTATGGAGATATAAATGTCTCATTTTAAGGTAATAAAAACATTACCCAGGTGAAAAGGAAATATATTTAAATTGTACTTATTTTGATATACTTAATGTATTTTAAATGTACCGTATTAAATATGTATTAAATGTGCTAAATTGAAACAACTTCAAGTATATTAAGTGTATTTTAATATGTATTTAAGTTCAATTTTAAGGTAATAGTAATATATTTTATTATACTAAATTGTGCTAAAATGGAACCATTTTAAGTACATTTAATGTAATATAATAGCACTTATTTAAAGTGTATTTTAATACACTTTAAATCGACTTTAGAAATACAGCATTAGTATATTTTTAGCTTCACATTAATGCATTCTGAGTATATTTTAAATATAATTTCAGCTTATTAATAATGTATTAGTAGAACACTATTGGACCCACTATTAACATATTAAAAATATATTTTTCCAAAAACCATTTAATATAAAAATAATATATTTTAATGTATTAAAAATACATTTAAACATTTGAATTCAACAAAACCCAATAAAAAAAATATTTCTACAAAACACACAAACACTCTTTGAAAGATAAACTTTAATGCACTACATCAGTAAAGCATTATGGAAACTAAACAAAATACATTAACATAAAATGCATTGATTTGCAGAGGTATTAAACAGAACAAAAATAAATAAATAAATAAACTAACTGAAAGGAGTAGTTCACTTTTGAAAAAACTTTTGGTGATAATTTACTCACCCCCATGTCTTCCAAGATGTCCATGTCTTTCTTTCTTCAGTCGAAAAGAAATTAAGGTTTTTGATGAAAACATTCCAGGATTTTCTCCATATAATGGACTTCACTGGGAACCAAACAGTTCAGGGTCCAATGGCTAACAGTCAATTTGTCGTGAAAGCATGAGAATTGGCTCAATTGCGAGAGTCTTGTGCTGAATGCTTGAGAGTTGGCAGCCCTGACAAATCTTTTTTCGAGTCAATTCATTCATTTCGTTCATTGAATGAACCTAATGACTCGGAAAAATATTTGTTAATTTTGATGAACGAGTTCAAATAGGAAAATCATGAACATGCATAACAGAACAGAGCAAGGCGACCATTTGAGCTTATAAAACTTAAACTTGTGGGGTTTTTTTTTTTTAAATGACCGATCGTTTCGCTTGATAAGACCCTTATTCATCGTCTGGAATCGTTTAAAGCCCTTTGAACAGTTTGCACAGAAACTGTCTTTTGGACCTTGAACCGTTTGGTCCCCAATGAAGTCCATTATATGGAGAAAATCCTGAAATGTTTTCATCAAAAACCTTAATTTCTTTTCAACTGAAGAAAGAATGACATGGATATCTTGGCATGGGGGTGAGTAAGCTATCAGCTAAAGGTTTTTTTTTTTTTTTTTTAAAGTGAACTAATCCTTTAAGTCAAACAAAGTGAAATACAATAGCAAAAAGTAAAGTGGCCAAATCTTGAGTAAAAAGAGAAGTTCGTGACTTGTTCAGTCTGCCATAGACTCTTTTGGGGACATCAGAACCACCGAGGGAAATCTGGCAAGAATAAAAAAAAACAAGCATTAGTATAAACTTGTTCATTTATAATTCTAATAAAAAGCTGTCACTTTGTTACTTAATTCAGAACACTTAATGCACAAAAAGTCAGATATAATTATTATAACAAATAGGATTTTTCTTTATCATAAAGAATTTTCTAACCATTTCTGAGGTTTCAGGAAGACACAGCTCAGATGATCTTGGGCTTGAGCTGAATGAACCTCGTTTCATGGACTCCAGGGCCTCTTTGAGAGATGATAATATCCCTGGAAGCTCTATAAGAAAAAATAAAGTCGCATGTTATACAAAGTTAGGGCAGAAAAAACACTAGTTTGTGTTCTTCATATATAATTTGTATTTTGTTTAAATGGTGAAACATATTTAATGAACCATTACTGTAACTTCCACCCTATTATTAAAGTAATTATTCATTATTAATAAAGACAGAACTTTCTATTGAAAGTTACAAGTTGGTGACAGCTGATAACGCCTTGATTAAATGTAAAAAAGCTGAATACCACTCATAAAATCATATAAATCAGTCCCTCGAGAAAAACATGATTATGTGATTGCATAATTCAATGCATAATCAGGCAAAATACATATTCATTTTTCAAATACGTGTTAATATATATAGGTCACTTAGTTACTTAGCTGCTACATGACACACTATTGCCTTTTTTTTGTTATTTTTCACCAACAAAAAGTTACAAATCAAGAGGATCAACTACTACTTACTCGACTTGACCTCATCTACTCACGGTTGGGTTTAATAAAAAAAAATGTCTTTGCAATGTGCAAATTCCTTGGCTAGGCTAAATATTAAATATAAAATCTCTCATTTCATTATTTAACATCATTTTAATTTCTCAGTGCAAGATATTTAATAATTGGTTTTGTGAAAGCTTATAGTTGGTGATTACAACTTAATTTATTTATCGAATTGACATGAAAACTGACAGCCTACTAATAATTAATTAGATTTTACTATGAATTAAATATCACAGATGTGAAAGTTTTATTAGAGCTTAAAATATATTATAATATTTAAAACACAAGAAGTTACTTAGGGACAATCAAGCCTGTCGGTTAATCACCATTAATAACCTTTTTTCTGCAAACACAGTGTGCAATTTTTTATAGTTGTATTATGTCACTGTCTAGATCTATAACAATTAAGTTGATAGACGTCAATGGATTAACTCGCTTTAGTGTCAAATCAACAGAAACGCCAGTAATCCACAGAACATCGACATCAACTTCTGAAAATATTTTCTAAACCCAAAGTGAGAATAAAGCCAATTATACTAATCACTTAAACTAATAAACTTACCACCAAGAAGTAAGATCTTTTCTGGCAGTATCTTGCTCTGTCCATGTCGTGGCGGCGCACCTCTGCGTTGTCCTCTTCACTGCTAATTGTTCGCGGGAGCTGACGACCTGGTAATCTGCTCGTGTGTTCTCTCAATATTAGATCGGTGCTATCCACATTCACTAGGTCCGAGCCAGTGAAATAACAAAGCAAAATTTGGAAAATACATGATTTCTGTTGAAATATCCGAAGCTATAATGGGATACCACAGACAGTCAGTATCCGCTGTCTGCGCCCCGCCCAACATGTAAGTTCAAATGGCAGTGTGTGATTGGACAATTGCCGGCAAGCTTGTTTTGAAAAGATTGGCTCTGATTGGTCCAAATGAATGCAACTGGAAATATTAACTAACATCCACAAAAAAAGAAACAACTCTGTTTATATAAACCTAACATGCTTATTAACAAGTTTTTTTTAATTAATTTTGGCTAAACAAATGTAAGAGTCAAGCTTTAAGAAATTTATTTTGTTTTTCTAGTATGTACACCTGATCTTTTATGTTGATGTGTGCAAGTACTGGTATTCACTTGTTTTGTGGAAAAGACTATTTGATTAATTAATGCAGAAGTATAGAAGTGCATTACTTGTTAGTCAAATTTTAGTGCTTTTCATAATTATAACAAATTAATTTAAAAAAGTTAAACCTAAAACACATAATATAAAGTGTGAAATACATATGCATTGAGTTAAGTGTTGGTAGTATTACAAAAAGTGTGTTAGTTTTTGGTATATTTCTTAAAAGCTTAACTGAGCACATATTTATAATTAAAGTGCTACTTCTAGTCTTTGTAGAAATATACAATTAATTTCGATACATGTTTAATTGCCTTCATGTTAGGAAGGGAATTAAAGGGACTTGAATTTTTAAACTTGAAGTGAACACAAAAATTACTTTAATTTAGCAACAAGTATGCTTTCTGTAAATACTCTAAAACTTCACTAAAAGTGTTTGTTTTTAGCATATTTCTAAAAGTGTAATTAAGTGTATATTTATTAGCATTGCGTTTCTAGTAAAACATTTTTAAATATAATTAAAATATGTTTGTATTTAGCATATTTCTTAAAAATGTAATTAAATACCAATGTACTTCTAGTACACTTTTTAGAAACATATTTAAAGCATGATTGTCATTAGCATATTTATTAAAAATATAATTAAGCACACATTTATTACCAATGTACTAATAATATACTTTTTTAGAAATACATTAAAAGTATGCTTTTCTATAGTGTATTTCTTAAAAGTGTATTTAAACATATATTTATTACCAATGTACTTCTAATATACTTTTTTAGAAATACATTTAAAGTATAATTATCATTAGCATATTTATTAAAAATATAATAAAGCATACATTTATTACCAATATATTACTAATATACTTTTTATAAATACATTAAAAGTATGCTTTTCTATAGTATATTTCTTAAAAGTGTATTTAAACATATATTTATTACCAATGTACTTCTAATATACTTTTTAGAAATACATTTAAAGTATAATTATCATTAGCATATTTATTAAAAATATAATAAAGCATACATTTATTACCAATATATTACTAATATACTTTTTATAAATACATTAAAAGTATGCTTTTCTATAGTATATTTCTTAAAAGTGTAATTAAATATATATTTATTACCAATGTACTTCTAGTATACTTTTTAGAAATATACTAAAATGCAATAAAATACATTTTTAGTACACTTTAAATAAGCATGTTGTAAATACAAATGTATTATAAACACACTATTTGTATTTCAAATATATTTTTAATACATTTAATGCAACGTCTTTTTCACCTGGGTATAATAAATATATATTTAATTACACTTTTAAGAAATATACTATAGAAAAGCATACTTTTAATGTATTTATAAAAAGTATATTAGTAATATATTGGTAATAAATGTATGCTTTAATATATTTTTAATAAATATGCTAATGATAATTATACTTTAAATGTATTTCTAAAAAGTATATTAGAACTACATTGGTAATAAATATATGTTTAAATACACTTTTAAGAAATACACTATAGAAAAGCATACTTTTAATGTATTTCTAAAAAAGTATATTATTAGTACATTGGTAATAAATGTATTCTTAATTATATTTTTAATAAATATGCTAATGACAATCATGCTTTAAATATGTTTCTAAAAAGTGTACTAGAAGTACATTGGTATTTAATTACATTTTTAAGAAATATGCTAAATACAAACATATTTTAATTGTATTTAAAAATGTTTTACTAGAAACGCAATGCAAATAAATATACACTTAATTACACTTTTAGAAATATACTAAAAACAAACATAGTTTTAGTGAAATTTTAGTGTATTTACAGAAAGCATACTTGTTCCTAAATTAAAGTATTTTTTGTGTTTACTTTGTGTGTATAGCAATTTGTAACCTTATAACTTATTTAACCTTGTATAGGACTAGAGCAATATATTTTTAATATTTATGTTATACTGTAGCATGTGCTTCCCCAGGTGAAAAAGACGTTGTATTAAATGTATTAAAAATATATTTGAAATACAAATAGTGTGTTTATAATACATTTGTATTTACAACATGCTTATTTAAAGTGTACTAAAAATTTATTTTATTGCATTTTAGTATATTTCTAAAAAATATACTAGAAGTACATTGGTATTAAATATATATTTAATTACACTTTTAAGAAATATACTATAGAAAAGCATACTTTTAATGTATTTATAAAAAGTATATTAGTAATATATTGGTAATAAATGTATGCTTTATTATATTTTTAATAAATATGCTAATGATAATTATACTTTAAATGTATTTCTAAAAAGTATATTAGAACTACATTGGTAATAAATATATGTTTAAATACACTTTTAAGAAATACACTATAGAAAAGCATACTTTTAATGTATTTCTAAAAAAGTATATTATTAGTACATTGGTAATAAATGTATTCTTAATTATATTTTTAATAAATATGCTAATGACAATCATGCTTTAAATATGTTTCTAAAAAGTGTACTAGAAGTACATTGGTATTTAATTACATTTTTAAGAAATATGCTAAATACAAACATATTTTAATTGTATTTAAAAATGTTTTACTAGAAACGCAATGCAAATAAATATACACTTAATTACACTTTTAGAAATATGCTAAAAACAAACAGTTTTAGTGAAATTTTAGTGTATTTACAGAAAGCATACTTGTTACTAAATTAAAGTATTTTTTGTGTTTACTTTGTGTGTATAGCAATTTGTAACCTTATAACTTATTTAACCTTGTATAGGACTAGAGCAATATATTTTTAATATTTATGTTATACTGTAGCATGTGCTTCAGCCCTGCTTTAAAAAAATATTGTGAAAAAACAAATGAGACATATATATATATATATATATAATATATATATATATAATATATATATATATATATATATATATATATATATATATATATAAAGTTTAAAAAATTACAAGTAATGCACTTCTATACTTCTGCATTAATTAATCAAATAGTCTTTTCCACAAAACAAGTGAATACCAGTACTTGCACACATCAACATAAAAGATCAGGTACATACTAGAAAAACTAAATAAATTTGTTAAAGCTTGACTCTTACATTTGTTTAGCCAAAATGAATAAAAAACCTGTTTATAAAGCATGTTATGTTTATATTAACAGAGTTGTTTCTTTTTTTGTGGCCGTTAGTTAGTTAGTATTTCCAGTTGCATTCATTTGGACCAATCAGAGCTAATCTTTTCAAAACAAGCTTGCTAAAAACAAACAGTTTTAGTGAAATTTTAGTGTATTTACAGAAAGCATACTTGTTACTAAATTAAAGTATTTTTTGTGTTTACTTTGTGTGTATAGCAATTTGTAACCTTATAACTTATTTAACCTTGTATAGGACTAGAGCAATATATTTGTAATATTTATGTTATACTGTAGCATGTGCTTCAGCCCTGCTTTAAAAAAATATTGTGAAAAACAAATGAGACATATATATATATATATATATATATATATATATATATATATATATATATATATATAAAGTTTAAAAATTACAAGTAATGCACTTCTATACTTCTGCATTAATTAATCAAATAGTCTTTTCCACAAAACAAGTGAATACCAGTACTTGCACACATCAACATAAAAGATCAGGTACATACTAGAAAAACTAAATAAATTTGTTAAAGCTTGACTCTTACATTTGTTTAGCCAAAATGAATAAAAAACCTGTTTATAAAGCATGTTATGTTTATATTAACAGAGTTGTTTCTTTTTTTGTGGCCGTTAGTTAGTTAGTATTTCCAGTTGCATTCATTTGGACCAATCAGAGCTAATCTTTTCAAAACAAGCTTGCCGGCAATTGTCCAATCACACACTGCCATTTGAACTTACATGTTGGGCGGGGCGCGGACAACGGATACTGACTGTCTGTGGTATTCCATTATAGCTTCGGATATTTCAACAGAAATCATGTATTTTCCAAATTTTGCTTTGTTATTTCACTGACTCTGACCTATGTGGATAGCACCGATCTAATATTGAGAGAACACACGAGCAGATTACCAGGTCGTCAGCTCCCGCGAACAATTTAGCAGTGAAGAGGACAACGCAGAGGTGCGCCGCCACGACATGGACAGAGCAAGATACTGCCAGAAAAGATCTTACTTCTTGATGGTAAGTTTATTAGTTTAAGTGATTAGTATAATTGGCTTTATTCTCACTTTGGGTTTAGAAAATATTTTCAGAAGTTGATGACGATGTTCTGTGGATTACTGGCGTTTCTGTTGATTTGACACTAAAGCGAGTTAACGTTTATCCATTGACGTCTATCAACTTAATGTTATAGATCTAACAGTTAGACAGTGAAAACAACTATAAAAACATTGCACACTGTGTTTGCAGAAAAAAAGGTTATTAATGGTGATTACACAACAGGCTTGATTGTCCCTAAGTAACTTCTTGTGTTTTAAATATTATAATATATTTTAAACTCTAATAAAACTTACACATTTGTGATATTTAATTCATAGTAAAATCTAATTAATTATTAGTAGGCTGTCAGTTTTCATGTCAATTCGATAAATAAATTAAGTTGTAATCACCAACTATAAGCTTTCACAAAACCAATTATTAAATATCTTGCACTGAGAAATTAAAATGATGTTAAATAATGAAATGAGAGATTTTATATTTAATATTTAGCCTAACCAAGGAATTTGCACATTGCAAAGACATTTTTTTATTAAACCTAACCGTGAGTAGATGAGGTCAAGTCGAGTAAGTAGTAGTTGATCCTCTTGATTTGTAACTTTTTGTTGGTGAAAAACAACAAAAAAGGCAATAGTGTGTCATGTAGCAGCTAAGTAGCTAAGTGACCTATTATATATTAACACGTATTTGAAAAATGAATATGTATTTTGCCTGATTATGCATTGAATTATGCAAT